ACCGACATGGTACCAACCAAAATAATCTAAGGAAGTTATAGCATATTTTGAATGAATTCTACCAATCTTATATCAAAATAAAAGGACAAACTAAAGGCACATATAATACAAATAGGCCTGTTATCACAAGGCATAGGCCTAGGCAGCACTTGAACCTACACTATCCAATAAATTAGGGCCATTATCATATACCTAATATTAAATTGGCGGGACCTGTAAGTGTTAATAACTACTGAACAGTAAAATGTGAAACAATAATATTTAGTTAGGGTTGTTGAGTTAAAATATAAACGGTTAAATGTACGTTCCTTCATTAAAATGCATTTCCCGTGTATTTATTAACCAATCTTTCATAAATCAAAGTTTTATGTTGGCTTTTTAAATTCTTCTTTTATTACTTTATTTGTTTGTATAATAATAATGCGATGGATATAATGTGCCTCCAGTGGCGTATCAGTTGACGGGTGCTTAGTCACAAAATAAGGTGATTTTAGGTAATTTTTATATACTTTGACCATGTTTTTTGGGGGGGAGGGGTGGAAGCGAGTGTAGGGGACGCGATTATTTTTTTCGGGAGGGAGAGGGGAGTGCGCCCCTCCACGCACCCCTAGATACGCCACAGGTGCCATCCAATTCCCTCGTAGGCCTTCGACAAGTACATATTGGTGACTGGCATGCCAGTAAAGTAAATTAAAATAGGCATTCAACTTCCAAAATCCAAATTTTACAAACTTAAAATAATCCAATAACAGTACTGTATTTCTAAAGTTACGTTTCGTAGAAATATTGTAAAAGTGTTGATTAAGTGGAGCATAATCTAGGCTCCATCTTTTTTCATTTATAGGTGCGCATCCAATGCACGTACGCATTCGCGCAATATTAAATTAATATTCTGTAATATTATATTTGACAACTGGCAGTGGCTAATTCAACGGGAGGGGGCAGCACCCCTAAATTATCTTAAAAATTAAAAAAGAGGTATAAAGAAAATTACAATTAATTTTCGGCCATCTGAAGGTTCCATATTAACAAATTTCCTTACCTCAGCCCCAACCATGGTGGGGCTGAGGTGGTACAATAGATCCTCTACCTGTGAAAGTACCAGCCAGGACTCCCTCTTTTTTGAATTCCTAGAACCTCCACTGAGCTGATTTATATAAATAATTGTCACGTAAAATATGCATTCACGTGTATATTACTACCACCATTCATTTTAATTTACTTGACCATGTGTTCATATAACAAAAATATACCGGTACATGTAGATATATATATA